TTGGGCAACAAAAAATGGCAAAAAACAAAAGAATTCTAGACCTACCTTTTCAGGACCCGTGAGCTGATTTTTTTTTTTTTTTTTGCTATTAGAAAATTCGAATTTTGAAGAACATAACATTCAATAAAACACACTTCAAATGTCGGGTAAGCTCATTTCCCGCCACCTAGGAATCAAAATTTTCCCTGGGAAGAACCACAGGACCCCCCCCCCCACATCTTTTTGGGATTTATCGACCCGTGAGCTGATTTTTTTTTTTTTTTTTTTTGCTATTAAAAAATTCGAATTTTGAAGAACATAACATTCAATAAAACACACTTCAAACGTCGGGAATTATCGATTCACGGAAAAACTACGTATGCAACTTACTTTTTTTTAATGTATGTATGCACACATAAGGCCTATTTACTGTAATAACAATGGGAAAAAATTATCTGACCGTTTTCAAGAGTGGAAAACCTTGAATTTTGAAGAACTTAATTACTTTTAAGTTCTTCAAAATTCAAGGTGTTCCCCTCTTGAAAATTATTATAATAAATCAATGAACCCAGAGAAAGGGAGGTCGAGTTCTTCCCGGGAAAATGTTGATTTATAAATGGTGGACAATGAGATTTCCCGACTTCTGAAGTATTTTTTAATGACTTTAATTTTAAAAGACACCTCAGAAGTCGGGAAAGCTCATTTCCCGCCTTCTAGGAATCAAAATTTTCCTGTGGAAGAACCCCCGGACCCTCCTTTCTTTTTGGGATTCATCTCATGGAAAAAATCGTATGCAACTACTCAATTTTTTTTTAAATGTATGTATACACACATAACAGGCCTATTTACTGTAATGAGAAAGTTTACCTTACCGTTTTCGACCATGAGGGGGAAAATCTTGAATTTTGAAGAACAAAGTCATTAGACACCTAGCTCAAAGTCGAGAAAGGTCATTTCCCGCCATCTAGAAATCAAAATTTTCCCGGGAGAGGAATGTTGACCCCACCACCTAGATTTGATTCCAGATCTGCATGATTCATATTCCTATTCATCTTATAGGCAGTGGCGTAACAGGCAGGGGGCCGGGGGGGGGCAGACTGTCGGTTTTTACTGGGCTGACCAAGCCGTCGTACCGGGCTGGGTAAGAAGAGAAAGAAAGAGGGGAGAAGGAGAGAAAAAGAAAGAAGGGAAAGAAAAAGGAAAAGAAAAGGAGGAGAGAAAAATAAAGACAAGAATAAAAAGGAAGATATAATGAACAGATATCACAATACCCCTGCCTGCAACCCCTTCTCCACTTCAAAAAGTGTCCATATCGCATTTGATCTAAGCCGCCAGGTATTCTCCGCAGTGGCGTAACCACCGGGGACAAGGGGAAAATATCCCTTTTCACCCGGGAAAGTTTACTGAAAATCTCAAATTTAAAATCGCATATTTTGTTGAGGTAGGCCAATTTCCTCTAAAAATTGCACATTTTAGGGAGTTTTGATCAATTTCGACGAAATTATAATTAAAAAACACAGAAATTTTTCGCGCGCATTTTTTCATGTTAAAGATTGTGCTTGCTCTCCTTTGTAATAAATAAAGGAATATGTTTGTAATAAATAAAGCAATAAGGAAAATGCTTATATTCAGTTTAAAAAAACGAGTGTGGCCATATATAACATAAATGCATTTCTTGTTGAGATAGGCCAATTTCCTCTAAAAATTGCACATTTTAGGGAGTTTTGATTAATTCCGACGAAATTAGAATTTTATAAAAACACAATTTTTTCGCGCGCTACGCGCGCATTTTTTCATGTTAAAGCTTGTGCTTGCTCTCCTTTACCTTCTAAGTTATAACACATAGTCCCAAACTCAAGAAAGATAATTTAAGATAGATCGTTTTACCTAAAAGAAGAGCCTCAATGTGTAATGATGTTGAAAGAATATGTTTGTAATAAATAAAGCCATAAGGAAAATGCTTATATTCAGTTTAAAAAAAACGAGTTTGGCCATATATAACATAAGAGCATTTCTTGTTGAGGTAGGCCAATTTCCTCTAAAAATTGCACATTTAGGGAGTTTTTGATCAATTCCGAGGAAATTAGAATTAAAAACACAAAAATTTTTCGCGCGCATTTGTTAGGGTTAGAGCTTGTGCTTGCCCTCCTTTGCCTTCTAAGTTATTTAAAAACATAATAGTCCCAAACTTGAGAAAGAAAATTATAGGCCTATGATTGTAATAAATAAAACCACGATGAAAATACTTATGTTGTATTGTTTTCTATATGGGGTGGGGGTATCACACCAAGTCATAAATTACTAACCGGGAAAATTATTACCTTTGCCATACACATCTTTATAGGCTTATATGATAGAAAATACACTTTCGAAAGAAATAGATTAAAATTAAAAAAAAAAAATAAGTAGGGCCTAAGAATAATTCAGTTGTAGACGTACCTTGTTTAAGTATTATATGCTAATTATGCGGATCTTGTAGTCCTAGCTAGGCAAGGCATTTCATGTGCAAAGCAGTGGTGTTTGTTTATCGATGAAAAAAGCACGCCGGGAAAGTTTGTCTTCAGGAAAAGGTTGACGTAATCTAGCTTATGACGTATGCATGCTAACTATAACGTGAGTGTGACGTCACCAAAAAATAAACGTCTGCACTGTAGTGTGGCGGGGGTGGGGGTGGGGGTTAGCCTACTGATGTACTGTGTATAGCGGAGGACGATGAAAAATAATATGACTAGGCCTAGGCCCAAGTAGACATTGTAATTATAGGCCTATGTGATAGAAAGTACACTTTCGAAAGAAATAAATTAAAATAAGAAAAAAAAATAAGTAGGGCCTAAGAATAATTCTGTTGCAGACGTACCTTGTTAAGTATTAAATGCTAACTATGCGGCTCTTGTAGCCCTAGCTAGGTAAGGTATTCATGTGCAAAGCAGTGGTGTTTGTTTATCGATGAAAATAGCACGACGGGAATGTTTGCCTTCAGGAAAAGGTGACGTAATCTAGCTTATGACGTATACATGCTAACTATAGCGTGAGTGTGACGTCACCAAAAAATAAAAATTTTCTATTATAACCAAAATATTAATAACTACAAGGTTTGTTGGCGTAAATTCCCTTAATACGAATTAAGGGTAGCACCATCTCCTTGCCATACAAATTACAGCTCCCATTGACGTCTCATGCGAGAAATACGGGTAGCTGAAGTTTTTCTCGAAAATCTGACTACGAAAACCAAATCGAAATTCACGTTCCACTTCTGACTCTGAGTTGTGCCTCGCACACGACGCTGAGGGCGGCGTTCTGGTAACCCTGCGTCCAGGTTAGTCACTCCAACCACAGAACCTACTTATCTACCAAGTGTCATTAAAACCTAGTCAAAACTTGCAAAAGTCTTAGATGTTATTTGAGTATGGTACGTAAGTTATTCAAACAAAACCACAATGCTAGACAGCAACTGCAATTATACTACTATATAGATGAAAATCCACTAGAGCTACAGCCTAAGATACAGTACTTAATATATATAGCATATCGTTGTTGCTGTCTCTTATACACATCTAGATGTGTATAAGAGAATCCTTATTTATAAATCATCAAAGAAAGGTATTCAAATAACTGTCAGGTACACTCTATTACAGTGGCATAAAATATAAATCAATTTTTATAATATCATTTATTGTATTAAAAAGTTGATTGCAACTCTTTTAAAGGTTAAATCTAAGATAAGCAAAACAATAATAATTTTAATTATTAGAATTCTATAGTAATTCTAGATTTTACTCGTTATACAACTTTAATTGTAAGAATTCTTGTAAGCGACAGGAAATCATTGAACACTGATTGTTTTGTTGGCAGATATCTCTAAATATGTGAAATATAAACCGAACAGGTATCGACGAAAATCTATTATTATTTAAACTTTACAGGTATAAATATCCCTTTTTTAAAAGTCTAGCTTGGTCATTCAAATCAGCCTGAATAAAAAAAAACGTAAACAATAGCTTAGTGAAGGTAATACTATAATGAAATTCACAAATCCAATAAACTTACAAATGTTAACTATTTTTCATTTACACAACGCATTATAAAATATAGATTCCATTGTTTAAGAAAAGAGAATCTGACATGTTATGTTTTGAAGTTTAATTTTCAAACTGTTTAACTTATACCTTTTTTGTTATTGAAGGACTAATAACTTGTACCAAAATATGCTTTTCAAATTTTTCAGTTTCTCGATTTGATTCTCAATCATTCCATTTCCCTTTCTTTCCCTTGATCATGCACTCGTGCTCTAAATGCTGTGTTTTATTACGACACAATAGGGGGGGGGGGGGGGTAGGGTGCGCCGTCTTCTCCCCTCCTTTTTAGAAAGTACAAAAGAATAAGAAAAAGAAAGAAAGAAAAAATGAATTATTGATCACCCAAACCGCATCAGAGGTAATTTCTGGGCGTCGAGTAAACAAAGATTTCCCGGACTCCTAGGGTAGTGTTATCTCTACATTGCCCACCCCCTCCCCACCACCCATTGACATCTCAGGATCCACCCCGGAAACTTATACCTTTAAGTATTTAAACCAGTTAATTTGCATTATTAGCATAATCTACACTAACATTTTAATATGTAATTCAGTCTTTCTATATTTACAACTCACCTACACAGTTACCACTAAGGTATATTTAAAGTCGCTTTTTGCGTATCATTGCTGTAAACAAATACTATTTTTTAAACTCATCCTAATGCTATTCCCAATATTTTGGAAAAAGTATTTGAACAATTGCCATTCGTTTTTTTAAGATTCTAATTCATAATTTCAAGTACAATCACAAAAATAATAAATAAAAATGGACTAAAATGATACAGAGTGTACATTGTTTCAGATCATTACACAATTTCAGCATATTGCTGGAATCATTAGGAGACATGTCAGATTTTAAAACAAGTGGTAGCTATTTTGCATTATGAATGACAATACTTTTGATTGTAATAAATATAGATAGAAAACACAGTTTCACTTCCTAAAATGTTACAATGAAGTAGAAATTGTAAAAATTGGTGTTCTTGCTGGTGTCTGGACACAATTTTCTTTATTCACAGTGCCAGAAGAAAAGCCAAACAACTGCAGAAATCGCTTTCTGTATCTGTCATTTGAAATATTGTATATGATTGGATTAACAGAGTTGTTAACAAAAGCCAAGTATCTAAACACGTTAGCAAACGATGTTATAACATCGTAGTTAGCCTTAGGGATTATATAGCCATATATCCAAAGCATGTTGTTCGGAGCCGTAAGGACAACGTAAACAACTACAGTCACTATGACAGTATTTAACGCTTTCCGCTCATAGTTGGTTCGATTACTTGCAGAAGAGATCTCTTGCTTTTTCTTAGAAAGAGGTTGATACAGAGACACAATCATCACAAGGTAGAGAGTAATCATTAACATAAGATATACTAAGTAAAGTGCAACCTCTGCTGTAACCAAATCTACAATAATACTGCATACACTAACATTAAATTCGTCAACGCTACAGTAAACGCATACCGACGATGTGCTTGGAACACCGTTCCACATATCTGGCCATGAAAATGTTAATTCCTGTTTACCTATTGTCACTGTATTTCGAACTTGACATATCAGAGAAATGATCCATATAGCGCAGCATACTTTTATTGTGCGCTTCTTAGACACATACGAGCGATATTTCAGAGGTTTTGTAATTGCTAAAAAGCGTTCGACACTAATGGCTAAAACGATATTCGCAGAAACCATGTATGTCCAGTCAACAACTAATGCATTAAATTTACAATAACCTACAGAAACACCCCGATTGTCATAGAAAATATGAAATGGACTTTGAGTGAGAGTAAACCACATATATGTCGAAGCTACGACTAGAAATAGGCTATCAGAAATCGCAAGATTTACTAGATAGATATTTAGTGGGGTGCCCATGCGCGTGTTGGTAGTAAGAACAATGATAGTAGACGCATTACCAATGAGTCCGGTGAGGACAACAATTGGAAGAAAAATATACATTAAATATATTTCTGCGTCAGTATACAAAAATGGCTTTATAACTGCATCCCAGTCCTTCTCTTCTTCCAATAAACTACTGTTGTTGTTTGCCATTGTTAACAACCTGAAATTAACAAAATGTAAAAACAAGTCAAAATCTCATCCTGTAAAATGATATTACATATATAATTATCTGGTAGGCTATTATTTCATATAATTTGTAGTAGAAACATTATTTTTGATTAACACAACAAGATCAAGGAATGAATAGCTCACAAACTTATATATAATGTTTTTTTTAGGATGTTTATTAAACACGAGACTGCTAAAAATTATATTCATTGAATGTGATGTGACGTTGTGCCAAGCCCGGAATATAGAGCTTAACTTAACAATCCACCTATTGCGCTTTCTACATCTGCGGTATTAAACATTAAGATACCAAATAGCAAGGCTGTACCGTACATCTCTGTAAAGCATGGTCAGACTTCGTTTGCTAAGTAATTTATTTGAGAATATTATTCATTAAAAGCGAATTTAAATGTGCAATAAATATAGCTGACTTTTATGTTGGTTATTTTTTTTATCGCTGTTCATTTTTTAAAATATGGATTTTAAACTCTGATTTTAAGCATTCTAATGTAGACTGTATTCTTATGACTATAGCTATGATATATATTATTTTATGGCAAAGACTAGCATAAATGGTGAAATAGAATCGTTTAGTTTGAACACCAAAGTAAATAAATGTCTCAGGACAGTCCGTCTGGCAGGCTAGGCCAAGTACACACCTCCGCTGCACACTGTCAAATCACTTTAGGTTTAGGGTGGGTGATTAAGTTTTATGGGCTTGTTATTTCCTAGTGTAAATTTCAGAAATATTGTATGTGGTGCTAGACGTTTCCTTTGGCTATGAGTATGAATACAAAGGGCCTAAAGAATAATTTCTGCTACCACAGGCCGCCTATACTAACCGTACCATTAATGTATCGTGAAAATTGCTCTTAATATTATGCCCAGGCTTAACCATAGATATCTTATATGCCTGTTTATGTCCAATGTCCTAATGTCTCGGGCGTAATATTGAAGCATTTCTTAGTGATTTGGTAAACGAAATTCCATGGTAAAATATATAAACAGCAATTATGGTGTCTTTTACAGAAATTCAGAAAAAAAAGTTGCTGAGCTGCCATCTTTATAGTGTATTAACTCGAGCGTTCAAAACAATAACAAACCAGAGTACCTTATTATTCTTTTTATTCAACTTTATTTAACGATCAGTCGAAGGTTAAAAAAGAATCTCGCCCCCGTCCACCAATTCACGTTCGGCTTTTAAAATGGGATGATAGGCAGAATATAATAAAAGCGGCTAGGGAAAATCTGAAGGATGCTCCCTTTAAATAAAAAAAATGTTGTATATATCAGATGATGTAAGCTATGAAGTCAGAGAGGATAGAAGAAGGCTGAAAGAAAAGGTGTATAAAATAAAGGAAAATGATCCGAGTATTGACCATGTTTATGTGCCTTTTACGTTTCCAGCGAGTATCAAATACATGGACAACAGCGGTAGATACAAAACACTGTATTAATGTTACAAGAAGAAAGTTAATCAGATAAAATTTTAAAATGGTAGCCATTTTGGACGCCATCTTGGTTTACGGGTACTTATAAGATTTGGACACTCTAGATAATGGTAATATTGTATTCCTTGTACCTTAAAATATAATTATATTTAGACACTTCATTTGTGCTTCCAATTTATTTGGTTGCAAAAATATGATAAAATTTTAAAATGGCGGCCATTTTGGACGCCATCTTTGGTTTCAGGGTACTTATAAGTATAGGACACTCCAGATAATGGTGTTATCGTATTCCTTGTAACTTTAAACATATATTTAGACACTTCATTTGTGCTTCCAGCTTGTCTAGCTGCAAAGTTACGATAACATTTAAAAATGGTGTCCATTTTGGGCACCATCTTGGTTTTCGGGTACTGTACTTACAAGATTACGGCACTCTAGGTAATGGTCTTATTGTATTCCTTGTATCTTAAAACATATATTTAGATACTTCATTTGTGCTTCCAACTTATTTTGTTGCAAAAGTATTATAACATTTTCAAATGGCGGCCATTTTGGATACCATCTTGGTTTTTGGGGGTACTTATAAGATTTTGAAACTCTAGATAATGGTATTATTGTATTCCTTGTACCCTTAAAACATATATTTAAACACTTCATTTGTGCTTCAAACTTGTCTGGCTGCAAAGTTATGATAAAATATAAAAATGACGGCCATTTTGAACGTCATCTTGGATTTTGCGGAAAGTTTCAGTAGGATTTTTCAGGACTTTTAGTATGTTATTCTACTCGTAATTTTGAACCTATCCTGTTTTTAAGTTGGTACCAGGGAACAGTGAAATTACAAATTGGTACAGTGTCAATGTTGGCCTACGCGTACGTGAGTGACAATACATTCCTAAAAAAAGACGTACAGTATTTATAATATTATAGATAACAGCCTAAGTATCACTTATTTTAGACGAGGGCCGGGGGCAGGACCCCCGTCGGGGAGACAAATTCGTAGGGGGAGAAACAAAATTATATGTATTTTCTACATATTATTAGACTCTAATATCGAATAAATAAGCCTTTGAAACCCCCGATTTGTCAAAATTTTCGGGGGCTTTGCCCCTGACCACTTTCGTAGGCTTTAAATCTAAGCTCGATAACGCCCACTTCTAACCCAAATCTAACCCCTCGTCGGGGCATCGGCCTTTCCCCCACCGTCGGGGACCTTGGTCCCCCCGTTGGGCTAATCCTGGTGCCACCCCTGGTTCTGTTGTAATAAAGAGGGGGTTCAAGTCTATAGGTGTTCAACCCTATTATTATCAAAGTTCTACTACAGAGACTTGTCGGTGTTGCATGATGCCTACTTATGGTACTCGAGCCTTGGATATATCGCTTAAACCAACATGGAATTACAAACAGCTGAAGGAAAATTTCATAAATATTCATGTGATCAAGGAGGTGTTATGTTGAATCCATAGCGCCACCAATCGTCACAGCCTCAAACGTCCAGGAAGAAAAAAAATTGCAAGCTGGCGAATGCGGAGTCGTTTCTTTACAATGTCATAACTTTGCCTACACTAATTCGATTGCTCAAGTTAAAGCTGCAACAGAAAGCAAATTGTCTTGTTGATTAGTTATATATAAAAATTAATCTGATTGAATCAAATTTTCTTTGTGATCGTTTAAAAAATGTGCATTTTGATATACCCTTTTCGTATAATGAAATGTGCAGGGCGTTCAATCTGTTCAATTGATGCGCAGTGTTAAAGTGTTTTGTTACGTGGTCAAAACAAAAACAAATTGATATGCAGATGATGAAGATTATAAAGTCGCGTTCTTTAGAGAATCTTAACATTAATTCTTGTAAGTTCTAATTACAAAAGCAACTTTATATTATTTTTCATCAATCCTGGATAAACTTTTTCCTGAGAAGATATGAATGTGTAGAGGTGTGAGCAACCCAAGTTGGTATACTGAAGAAGTGGGGAAAGCACGAAGGTATAGACGGAAGTCTGAAACTGATTTAAATATGGAAAATAGGAAGAAACAAAATTCATAAATGAACAACTCTAAAGAAATGTACCGCATTCTTTTAAGCTTTTAGGCCTACCAGTTTCAATATCTACTAAATCAATATGCCAGAAATTTGCTTTGTTTTTTGTTTTTTTTTTATAGAAATAAGATGAAAAAGGTAAGGGCATGCATAGATGATCATAATGCTGAGCCAAATGCAACCAATGTCTTCCCTTCTATAGCTATAGCCCCCCGTGGGGGAAGGCGATAAATTTTGTCAGGGAACAAACAAATTAAAAAAATATTTACATGTAATATTCGATTAGCCACCATATTGTTTGTGTTAACTTTTCATCATCACAACAACAACTACAACAACAATCACAATAACAACAATAATAATAATAATAATAATAATAATAATAATAATAATAATAATAATAATTCATTAAATGAGACTAATTAAAAATAATTTGCATCCTGTTATGACAAATGCTCATTTAGATTGCCTTATGATGGTTGGAATACATCGTGATAGGTGAAGCGACCGCGACCATGACAGCGTAGTTGACAGATTTTATGCAAAAATTCCAAAATATAGAATTTCACTTTCAAGAATGAGGATTTGAAAATAAATTAGATGGTTAGATTGCATACTCTTTGTTTTTACTTTATTCAAAATATTTCGGTTTTGGAAGCTGATTTGAACATTAGAAAGCATAGCCTACATGTTATGAAGTCATATAGTAACTAGATGCCTATCACATAATTAATAAAAAATTCGCCATAATTCATAAAATATCCGTGGCTTCCAGGGGGCTTCGCCACCTCCACCCCCACCGGGGGCCCTTGGCGGCCCCCAGCTAAGTGAGACTCGATTCGCTCCACTAGCCCCCCCCCCCGTAGGGGCCTTTGCCCCTTCGTCGTGCAGGTCCTGGCGCCACCACTGCACTTGACGCAAACTTACTGTCCAATTATCGTCCAGTTTCAATAACGAACTTTGTTTTAAACCACCCCATGTATCTTGCAATCTACTTACAAAGTGAATTATAGTACTGCGACAGCCTTGTTTTTCCTAAAAGCCGTGCTATGATTCCGGTAATGCTTGATATTTTGTCATCATTCGACAGAGAGAACCACTGTATTTAGGTGGACAGGTTGAATAATGACTATGACAATAATAATACAGAATGCCAATAATTGGATTAGGACATAATTTTGATGATAGATTTTATAAGGTCACACCTAACGGGTGAGAATCGGAAGAGCACCGCTTCATGTTGGTTCCGCATTCACATGTCTTCATTTCATCTTTGCATGTGAATGTCCCATTAACCTAAAGTGTAGTGAGATCAAAATTAGAATTTGAAATGGCCAAAAGAGGCGTAACCATCCTTTTCCTGACCTTTTTCAACCAGCCTTACTTTAACGTTAACTTTAAGGCATATATCAGAAGTTGCTGGGAGGATACCCATCCAGGCATAGCTCTGTCTCTTATACACATCTAGATGTGTATAAGAGACAGATATA